CGCCGCGATACTTTGTGCGTCAGCGCCGCGATACTTTGTGCGTCAGCACTGCGATACTTTATATGTCAGCACTGCGATACTTTATGTCAGCACTAGGGGTGCTTTATCTTAGTGTATAATGTACTTCATAAAGTACACAGCGTCCCGTTCATGAACATAAACATTAAAGACGTAACCTGTGACGTCACTTCCTGTTGTAACCTGTGACATCACTTCCTGTTGTCCAGAGGTCATCGACTTCCTGCAGCTGAAGGTGGCTCCTCTCCTGGAGGAGAAGCTGAGGAGACTCGGCCGACAGAAGAAGCAGGAGGAGACGCAGGAGGAGAGACACTTCCTTCTGTCCGACGTCATCTCCTCACACGATGAAGACGACGACTTCACCGAGTTGGACAACAGTCAGCTGACAGCCGGCCAATCGGGACGCAGATAGCTGTAGTGACATCACTTTCTGTCAGAGTGGGACTAAATATTTAATCCTCAGTTTACCATCAAATGTTAATTTTTATCAAATATATATATATTCCAACTAAGAATATAAAGTGTGTCCGTGTGTATTTAGTGAAGGATGTCACATTAACTCTGAGAGCAGAGATGAACTATGACAACAAACAGACAAACTGTTATTTTGCTTTATTATTGCTGCTTAAAAACAATTAATTCTGTCAGAAAGGACGTTTAGTTTTTAGTGTGTATTTACAGAGCAGGAAGTGACATCACAGCTGACCAATGGAGACACATTCTGATCGGATCAGTGGGATTTTATTTTGAAGATCCTAATGATTGATTTTCAGGCTGTTTCTGATATTTTGTCTTTAATGTTGTAATGAAAGATTTTTATTTCATTTACATAGAACTTTAAAAAAAAAAAAACGATTTATGAGCATAAAAATATGTAAAACTAGAGTTTTAATGATCATCTGGAGAATTTAATGTCAAAGATAATGTTTTAATTAATTTATTAATTTACAGACAACATTAAAGCCATTAAGTGTCTAAAGAAACAGGTTTAGATATTTAATAAATTCATTTCTTTAATAAATTTTATAATCTAATCAGAATTTATTTGAAATAATAAATATTTTACACAAACATTCAGATTCATACAAATGTCACATGAGTACATCGTCGCGCATAACTACATGGCCATGAAGTCCATCTGAAGAGGTGCATTGTGAGTAGTGGAGGTCATCTGAGGAGGAGCATTGTGGGTAGTGGAGTCCATCTGAAGAGGAGCATTGTGGGTAGTGGTCATCTGGCCGTGATGGCCTGCAGGCTGCTGGTTCTCTTCATGATGTTCGGCACAAAATGGAGTCCTGAGGCTCTCTCGATGGTTTCTATGGGAACCAGGAAACGCTCCAGAGGAACCTGCTCATCTATTGGTTCGTTGGGTAAAACATACGACCAAAGCTCCACCCCTTTACCATCTACCTGCTCCAGGATCAGCACCTGAGGAGAAACAGGAGAACCAATCAGCTCACAGGTCAACACCTTCATCATCATCATTATCATCATTACCATCATCATCTAAAGTCTTGTTATCTTGAAGTGTTTCTGTAACTAGACCTCGGCAACTTTTGGTTACCAGTCATGCTGTATGTATGCTGCCATACACTTTGGCCAAGTGTATGGCAGCAGTGTTGCCTAAGGATGAGAGTGGTACTACTCATGCCACATTTACTGGGAGGTTGGTATCCTCGTGCGTAACAGGGTTTCTTCTGTTTGTTCTGTTGACAGTGAGTGGAGTATTACTGGTTGTTTCTGGTTGTAAGGTTGATTGAGCAGCCTGCTTGTCGTGTCGACCCCACGGGAAGAGTCCAGATGCAGCCGGAGGTTCAATACTTAAAACAGCATGTTTTTAGATGACACCCTTATGGCTGTCATCTTAAGGAAGGGAGTGTTACGTATGGTTCTATGTCCTGCTGTGAATGTTTGTGCTTGGGTGAGTGTGTGTATTCTGTGTCTTTTGAGTTCTAGGTGCAGCTCCCTAACACTCCCAAACACCTCCCCCTCTGTCCCCCCTGGTGAGCTGCATGGACACAGAGCCCTCAACATCAAAGGGCTCTTCCACCCTCCCCACCCTCTCTGTGACAACTGGCCAGGTTAGGAGACAGCTGGAGAGACTCCACCAAGGCAAGGCTGCTGGACCTGATGGCATCAGCCCCAGGGTCCTGAAGACCTGCGCCAGCCAGCTGTCTGTTGTCCTGCAACACCTCTTCAACCTGAGCCTGAAGCAGGAGGAAGTCCCGGTACTGTGGAAGACGTCGTGCCTGGTTCTTGTACCAAAAAAGACGACACCATCTGGCCTCAATGACTACCGACCAGTTGCCCTCACATCTCATGTGATGAAGGTGCTGGAGAGGCTGGTCTTGGCCCACCTCCGTCCGCAGGTGAAATCCTCACTGGACCCTCTGCAATTTGCATACCAGCCTCATGTGGGGGTGGACGATGCCATCATCTACCTGCTGCAACGAGCTCAGTCGCACCTGGATGAACCGGTGGCTCTGTGATAATCACTTTCTTTGATTTCTCCAGTGCATTCAACACCATCCAACCAGTGTTGCTGAGTAAGAAGCTTCGGGTGGTGGGTGTTAACACGTCCACCGTCTCCTGGATCACTGACTACCTCACAGGCAGACCACAGTTTGTCCGACTGGGCCGTGTGCTGTCTGATGGGGTGCTCAGTGATATTGGAGCCCCACAGGGAACTGTTCTGTCTCCCTTCCTGTTCACCTTGTACACCACTGACTTCCAGTACAACTCAGGGTCATGCCATCTGCAGAAGTTCTCTGATGACTCTGCGGTGGTCGGGTGTATAAGGGATGGACGGGAGGAGGAGTACAGGGCAGTAGTGGATGACTTTGTGGAGTGGGCCGGTAGAAATCACCTGCGTCTGAACGTGGCCAAGACCAGAGAGATGGTGGTCGACTTCAGGAGGAAGACGACGGCTCCACAACCGGTGAATGTTCAGGGAGAGGATGTGGACATGGTGGAGGAGTACAAGTACCTGGGTGTCTCCATCGACAGCAGACTGAACTGGAAGACCAACATCAACGCTGTGTACAAGAAGGGGATGAGTCAACTCTTTTTCTTGAGGAAACTTCGATCCTTCAACGTGTGCAGCAAGATGCTGGAGATGTTCTACCAGTCTGTTGTGGCCAGTGCACTGTACTTCGCAGTAGTCTGCTGGGGGAGCAGCATTGGAGCCGGAGACACCAACAGACTGAACAAACTTGTTAAGAAGGCCGGCTCCATCATTGGTTGTAAACAAGACTATCTGGAAGAGGTGGTGGAGAGGAGGACACTGAAGAAACTATTATCCATATTGGATAACCCAGACCACCCTCTCCACCACCTCCTGCAGGGACAGTGGAGCACTTTCTCCAACAGACTGATCCAGCTCCGCTGTCACAAGGACAGATATAGGAGAACATTCCTGCCCTCTGCTATAAGACTTTATAATAAATCACCTCTGGCCAGATCAATCACACAACTATAACAATGCTACACTGTTGTTTGCTGTTGGTGATCCTTGCACTACTGTTTTTTTTACCTAGATGGTTAACTTATACCATTCTATCTTATTGTACATACTGTGCATTTTTTATTTTCTTTACATTTTATTCAAATTTTATTATATTCTGCTCTGTTATCTTATTGTATTGTATATATTGAGCATCTTTCATCTTTTTATGTTTACTCTGTAACTTTGTTTGCTGCTGCTACAAACAAATTTCCCCCTGGGGATGAATAAAGTATACATCTATCTATCTATCTAACGAGTGATTGAGGGCACCTGGATGAAGACGTGGGTTACCTATATAAGCGCCTCCTTGCTCCGCCCTCTCATCTGCCTGGGTTAGGGCCTGGTCTGCAGTGGGATTTGCACACTACAGTTTACTTGTGTCCTGTAAATGAACTGGCAGCTTGGTTGTTTTTAACCTAACTTGGTGTTGTGTCCCTCCTTCTGTTGTGACTCCCGAGCCGGTCGGAACAGAAGAGCTTCAAATGTTTAGTTGAAATGATTCTGGATTCTACGAACAATCTAATGGACAACATGTTAAAGGACTCTCAAGATCTCAAAACCAGAAACAATAAACAATCATCATCATCAGACAGTCAGACTCACCTTGAAGAAATGCGTTGGCACGGCGACGTGGTTTCGTCCTAAAACTTGATATCTGACGTAGAGTTTCCCATCAGCCTCTTGCCTGAAACACACACACACACCTGGTGATGTCGTCCTGTAGCCCCTCCCACACCACAGAAGAAGAAGCGGTTACCTGGGCAGGTAGAGCGGTCCGGTGCAGACGTAGACGTTGAGGTAACGTTTGGTGAGAGAGCGACACAGTTTCTCCAGATTGTTCCAGGTGTTCTGGTTCAGGTGAGGGTTCTGTGTGTGACATCATCAGATCAGATAGTGTTGTACACACACTGGCTGTGCGTGTGTGTGTGTTCACCTGTGGGGCCACGTTGCTCAGGTAGAAAGTGTCTTCCATCGCTTTCTGACTCCACTTGTGATTGGCTGCAGCTGCCAGGTGACCTCTGTCGAAGCCACTCCCCCTAAAGTCTGCATTGGTCGACCTGTGGAAAATGTGCACGCTGGGGGGGGACGGGGGGGTCTCATTTGTTGTGTAAACCATAAAATAATGTAAACATGTATGAAAATGTGCAAATATGCTAGGGCTATCATAGGGCTGTGCACTTGCTCACTTTGACATTCTGCACCACAGCTTGAACAGATGACTCAAAGGATGCACATCCTAACCACATAAACATGCTATTATAATAATAATAATAATAATAATAATAACGGTATGACAGTAGAGTAGCTATCGGAAGCGGTAAGCCCAAACTAGGACATAAGCATCTATGACAAGTAGACGAACAGAACACATAAATACCGAAGACTCCGGTCTCATTCTCTCTCGGCCTGCGTTCTTCACAGAGACAACTAGACTTATTTTCTCTCTTCACAGAGACACGTAGCATTTTAGCACTCCTTAACAGAACATTTAGCATTCCTTAACGGAACATTTAGCATTATAATCTTTAACCCATGTGTTGTCCTGGGGTCATTTTTGACCCCATTAGACATTTGACTTCTCTAAATAAATGAGACATATTTTTGGTTTAATATTTAATGACTTTTCCTAATGTAATGGGGCCAACTGTGTAAACAAAAACTCAACATGTTGATATGTAAAGCCATTAAAACACCTAAAAATATCTCTTTCCAATTTTAGGTCAATCAGTGAGATTTGATGGTGATCTGCATATTTCTCCATAGTAACAGGGATTCTGGATGTATACGGGTTTGGGTGTTGGGGGGGTTGTTTTATTTAAAGGGATATTTAGGTAGTCAACAAAAAACTAAGTACCTGACGCATAAATTTTGGTAGCAATTTTAATTATAATAATGTTCTGGAGGTTCATATTGCTGGGGTCAAGATGATCCGAGGATAACAGGTGTTAGTCCATGTGAAGGTAACAGGAGGGTTAAATGTTGCAGAAATGAATGTTGACATGTTTTATATGTCAGGTAATGAGTTGAAACACAGAGGTGGGTGTTAATTTATACTGTATGCTTTAAATAACAGTCAAACCAGGCGGAGTCATTTTTGAACCCAGAGGACAACAGGTGTATGGCAATCGGGAGGACAACACAAGGGGTTTTAAACGGGACATGACATAATAGCATAAATCTCAACACATAACATATATCGCACCTTAACGGACAAATAGCATTATTATAGCGTAACTTTCGGTACATCACATAAATACATCTGCTTGATTCTTGTATGAACCTGTGGAGGAAATAAAACTCCTCTGATATGCCCACTCAAGGGATATAGAGAAATCCAACCTGAGTACATTTTGTGCTCCTAGTGA